CGCAGTCTCCCCCCCGCGTGCCAACTTTGAGTTTGGGGGGCAGGGGTGGTGTTCACTAATTGTTTCCCTCTACCGTACCAGGGTGTATGACATAACCCCGCTGCACTGGCACCGCGCAGGACGGTGCTGGCCTGCGCAAATCTAACATTGCTGGTCCTTGTGGGCGCAGAATGGCACACGTGATGGCAACGTTCGGGAAGGCTTGGTATTGCACTCTTCGTCGGCCTCCCCCTGCTGTTCAGGATCACGGCTACTTCCGCCACTTGCGACGGGGGGATGCTTCCATGGGCGCGTCGGCAACTTCTCGGCGGTTGCGAGCTCAAGGCTTAACGCGGGCTGTGACGCTGAAGGGCATGGCCAACGCCGTTGGCAACTCCTCTTGGGGCCAGCTTGACACTTCCCCGCACACCCTAGGCACTTTGCCAACAATGCTACAATAATGCAACTATTTCGCTGGAAGCTCTGGAGGGCTCTCTCAAAGTTCGACCTACTCAGGGGAACACAATAGGGGGATCAATTTGCTGTCCGAGCTTCCTCGGGAATCACGCCCCGTCTTCTGGGAGATATGGTGAGTCCCAGGCCGACTTGCAGTCAAAGAAGCTGCGAGCGTCGTGGTTGGGATGTCAAACAGATCTTAGTACGTACGAGTTTCCTGATGACATCAACAAATTATGCACTGGCGGATCCGCAGATGACGCTGAAGGACTTCACCGACAAAATTGCGATGTAGATGCACGGTTGGATTCTTATCGCGTGGGCTACGACTATGGCCAGAACGCTTCCAAACGAGAATACCTGATGTTTGTTTCGCTGCGCGCGGCTATCAGTGTAGACAATTACTCCAACCAACCCCCCGCGTTCTTCAAGGCTCTCTGAAGGAACAAGCTAGGTATCTTGGGCCCCATTTGCATCTTTGAGTTTCGGCCACGGCTGAGACTTCTAGGAGATGTCGACCGGCTCGTTCTGGCTTCTTCTCCCTGGGCAGGGCCTGGAGTCTGGGAGTCCCTAAGAGATAAAGAAACGCAATCTTTCCATGGGTTCGTCCGGAACGCTTTACTGGGTGGTCCTTAGAGCTTCGTGGTCTCGGAGACGGATACAATACAGGATGGGTGTCTAGCTCCTCTGGGGCGCATAGCTCTGCTCGGGAAGGCAACCTCTTGGGAGGGCTCGCGCGTGAGGTCATTATCTAACGAACAGGTGCTTGAACATTGGAAGCTGGTCCCCTCCTCGCTGGGGCTGCTGACTCGTAGAGTTAAGTTGTATCAATCGTGGAGCGCACATCTGGAGGAACATACTCAGATTTTGCGCGCTCTGTCCGGGTCGTCTCCCATCGAGCCGATGACGCCCCAGCTGTGCTCAGGCAGACAGTCTGCTCAGGCTACGCCGTGGACAAAACCGGTGGCATCAAATCTAGATCGAGTCTACAGGCATCTTCCGTACGAGGGTGTGAGAGATGTTGCAGGTGACCTGCGACGACTTGCAGATTCTGGGGCTTCAGAGGATTTTCAGAGGGCGGGTCTGACAGAACTGCGTAGTCAAGTTCTTGTCGCTCTGTATTCCTCTTCCTGGTGATACCCCTCCTGCAGAGCCCCCAGCAGAACCCGAAGAACACGTTGAGGATGATCTGCCCTTTCAGTCTCCGATGGACCTCGACGGAGAACCCTGCAAGAGTGCCCTCAGTGACCGCAGAAAGCTACTCGAACACCTACGTCACTGTCAGAATCTAAGTAGTTTGGCACATGTATCTACGCCGAGCAGCGTGTGCATACACTGCCTCCAAGCGCTCGCTGCGCCCGTCACAGCAACCCGTCATCTATTACGTTCAGTGCATAAGGAAACGGTATGCCATGTGGCCCCCACACCCTGAACCTGCTCGTGACCCCGTCCTCCTGCGAATGCCTGTGCTGTGAGTTCGTGAGGGTGGACACGCTTTCACTGTGTCGTCATCTCCAGAGCCATCTCCCTGTCGAGATCGCGCTCCTTGTATCCACTTCTCGTACCGTAACCACCGACGCTCGCTCAGGGGTTCTATCATGGAAGTCCAGGATCTCCAAAGAGCTTCTTTGTGCAGCGGTGTCAGCGCCCCCTTGCAAACGAAACCCAGCCCGACCCCAAGAAGCAGAAGAAGGAGTCGGGCGGCCAGGGAGGTCGAGTCCCAATCGACAAGGTTATGCTGGCAATTTGCAAGCTCATCCTCGCCAACAGTCGAGGGCTCGCAGACCCCGGAGCAATGCTACCTGCGCTGCGAGCTGGACACCGGCCAGGGTATGATCGCGGCCGCAGTCGCGGCAGGGGTGGCCCACAACGGCCAGAGCAAACAGATGAAGAAGCGCGCCGAAGGTGGAGGGCAGGTGATCCACAGAGAACGCGGCGCTCCACACCTCATGATATTCATGGCGGTCTGGGAGTACAGGGCAACCAAAGCAGTGGCGAAAGAGGGAGGTCCCCCGATGAAGCAGCGAGCGGAGAAGCTCAACACATATATGCACGAGTACTGGGACGAGAAGCTCAGCAAGTCGGAGATGTCGGATGTGACCCGAGCAGTTCAGTACTTTCGCGTCCGTCTTCATCGCAAGGTATAGGTCCAGAAATGCAAGTGCACGTTTCTATCCAAGATGGACCTCCGCTCAGCGATCGTCTCCACTGTGGGCCCGATGATAGAGACGCTCATAGCAATGGAGGGGGGCTCCTTTCTCTCCAGGGGCAGCAACGAGAGGGCCGCCGGGAGGGAGATCTCGAAGTGTCTCGATCGCAAGGCCTCGGAGGAAGCAGTGGTGTGGGCAATGAAATAACTGAGCGTAGGCGTCAGATTATGCAAGGCAATGCTCAAATCACATCGTCGGTAACAGCAGGCAGACTCACCCGTGAGAAGTTCGATCGGGCAGCGAGTGGACCCCCAGCTAATCTTCCAGAAGGTTTCGCAGTAGTTAGTGCTCCTGAGAATTCCTGCATTTGATATGCCTTCGAATCGTGGCCAGGGCGGCCGACACCCTGGGAGGGGGAGGCGAGGGGTGAGCTCTGGTGGGCGGGGGGCGGAAAGAGGTCGTCGCGCCTGATGTACGGGCCCCTTCTGAAGGCTACGTGCCCGTGGATGTGCTCGCCGGCCAGTGCAGTTCGTGTGCTGTGAGCCTGAGATGGGCTCGCATCGAGAGCCGTCTGGTTTCGAAGGAACTCTCTGAAGTACAGTCAACATATTTTGGGCGCCGAGTTTGTTAGCTTGACAGGGACTCCCTGAGGATCTGCTCTGCTCTGCTCTCTTCTACTCCTCGCCCTCCTCTCCCACACATCTCGTCCTGGAAAGAGGCGAGCCCTCCCCCCCCCTCACCCTTCATCCCTCTGGCTTCTAGGTTACGGTAACTCCTCCCTGTCGCACACCCAGACATGTCGGCAGAGCGTGCCGAACGCTTCGCCTCGGACTTCACTTCCTCGCCGGCTGGGACCCTGGGGAAGCGCGGAGCGCCAAGAATTTCAGCAGGGCGCGCCGAGGTGGGCGCGGCTCGCCGGAATAGACTATTCTCGCAGATGTACGCGAAATTCTGCCGCCAGCTCAGCCGGAACACAGCCAGAGCGCGGCGGCCGGCGAGCCCCGAGGCGAGGCCGCCGTGCTCGTGGCATCCTTCGGGCACTGGCAGGACTGGCCCCAGGCTATGCCTTGGGACCTCGGGGCCGAAGCGCTGCAGTCGGACTCGATTGGAGAGGACGCGCGGGAGGACACGAGACCCTTCCGCTTGCCACGTTGCCGGAGGAATGCGAGAGGGCATGTGTCGCGAGACACGGGACACGAGGGCGACCTTGGTCTGGCAGGGTCGACCTACCAATCAGGGCCGACTGTATCAGGCTCCCCTTAACCTTCGGTCGGGCATGTCCTCCTACAGGCGGATTGCGGACGAAAAATCAGAACATGCTCAACACTACCCAAAAAAACCAAAACATCGTCCGCTGTAGAGGGACATGCCCGACTCAACCTTATCCGGGGTCCTCGCTATGCCCGAATCCTGCGCACGGGGGCAGCTCTGTCGGGGGCGGCCAAGAGGGGGGCGTCTAAGATGGGGGGGTGCAAATCATGACCGGCGGCATGTGCGCGGCCGAGGAGGGGGGGAGGGCAGGGACGCCATGAAACAAGAAGAGGCGGCGCCATGAAGCCTGAGGAAATGTCATACTATCATGGCCCGCGCCACGATGTCCACCCCCCCCTAGTCATCACCCCCCACCTTGCCTAGGGGAACAAACAGTGACATAAACATAAAAACTCGGAGGTCCGCGCGGATTTCTCGGATCGGCGCTGGATCCCCCCTCCCTGGCGCGCGGAGCGCGCCAGGGGCGGCGCCGGAGGCGCCGCCGGGGGGCCCCAGCGCCGATCAGAGAAATCCGCGCGGACCTCCGAGTTTGTACGTTTATGCCACTTTCTGTCCCCCGGCCCTTTCTGCTAGGTTGCTGTTTGCTCCCCTGCCCCCTGCTTGTTCCTCTGGTCCGAGTTTTTATGTTCATGTCACTGTTTGCGTGGTCATGTCTATTTCTGTTGTCCTGTCCTTTTTGATAGGTTGCTGTTTGCTCCCCATGCCCCCTGCTTGTTCCTCTGGTCCGAGTCTTTATGTTTACGTCACTGTTTGTGTGGTCATGTCTATTTCTGCTGTCCTGTCCTTCTTTGTTAGGTTGCTGTTTGCTCCCCTGCCCCCTGCTTGTTCCCCTCTCCGATTTTTTATGAGGAGAAGGGGGAGGAGGAGGGGGAGGAGGAGGAGGCGGAGGAGGGGGAGGAGGAGGAGTGGGGGGGAGGAGGAGGAGGAGGAGGGGGTGGAGGAGGAGGAGGAGGGGGAGGAGGAGGAGGAGGAGGTTTATGTCACTGTTCGTATGGCTGTGTCTGTTTTTGTTCCCCTGTCCCTGGCCGCCCCCGCCTCCGAGCTCTGCCAGCGGCTCCGCCGGAGCACGGCCGAGGCGACGGCGCCCCCCCGCCGCCACGCGCGCGGCGGGGCCGCCGCGGCGGCACGCCGGCGGGCTCGGCCTCACTGCTGCAGCGACCTGCACACACACAGACACAGTCAATATGGGAAATATCCTCCTCGATCCCTCGATTCGCCAGAAGATGTGGAAGAATATGGGGAGGAGGAGGAGGAGGAGGAGGAGGAGGAGGAGGAGGAGGAGGAGGAGGGGAGGCCCTGGGGAGACGAGGCAGCGGCGTGAGCGTACGCTTTTTCTGAAAGGGCCCTGGGGCACGCAAGTCAATGCAGGGCCAGGTTGTAACACCTGGGATTTTTTTGATATCGGATTCGTAATGCATGATTCCTTCATGAATAAGTGAATGCGTAAATCATCCCTGCATGTATGAATCAACCATCTATTTTTAATACATGGTCCGCACGCGGAGCATATATTAAAACGGCACTGCACACACAAAAAATATATTCCCCATATTTTCCTATAGTTTCTGGGTCTTCGTCTTCCCCCCCACTTCCCGCATTTTCCCATATGTTCCTGGAAGTCGACGATTACTTGTGTCTGTGTGTTTCTTTCCCTCCTGATTTTTGGCGGCGCGCACGAGGGGGTGGAGGGAGGGGGGAGGGCGTCCTAGAAGGAGGCCGCTTCTCACAAGGCGCCGGCCTTACATCTATATAGATGGGGCCCGCGCCTTCTGAGAAGCGGGGCTGCTTCTGAGAAGCCCTCCCCCCTCCCCCCTCCCTCTGCGCGCGGCTGACTCCTGGCGCTCCGCGCAGATTTCTCTTGGATCTGCGCTGGGCCCCCCTCCCTGGCGCGAGGAGCGCGCCAGGGGCGGCGCTGGTGGCCCCGCCCCTTGCGGAGGGGAGGAGGAGGAGGAGGAGGAGGAGGAGGAGGAGGAGGAGGAGGAGGAGGAGGAGGAGGAGGAGGAGGGAGGGAGGGAGGGAGGGAGGGCGGAGGAGGAGGAGGGAGGAGGGAGGCGGAGGAGGAGGAGGAGGAGGAGGAGGAGGAGATCCAAGAGATCCACGCGGAGCGCCAAAAGCCTATGCCAATGGCGTGTTTTCTTCGTCGAGGCCTGCGGTAGAGCCCGGGGCGGTGGTTCTCCATCTCGCACCAAGCGCGGCGCTTCTGCCCCTCCGTGAAGCCCACCATGCACGTGTCCGGCGAGTAGTCCATGAAGTTGTGGACAGGGTCGGCGCCCTTGCCGCAGGAGGTGTCCCAGACGCAATCGTAGTGCGGCATCGCCTCGCTCTCCGTGTCGTCGACGAAGTCGCCGTGGCCGCCCCCGAGCTCGCAGCTGCCCTGGAAGGTGTGGTACAGGCCGAGCTGGTGCCCCGCCTCGTGCACGACGGTGTCCCCCTCGTCGTACATCATGTCCCCATTGTTTCGCTGGGCGTCGCCCCGGAACCCAACGGACGACACCACGACCATCTGATCCGGGTCATCCTCCGACAAGTCGTGCGGGAACTCCGTCTGGCCCAAGACGCCAGACTGATCGTTCGTGATGATCACGATGGTGAAGTAGTCCCCCGCGTTCGTGTTGTACTTGTGCAGCAGGTCAACGTTAGAGAACCCCTCGTATGCACATTTGGCGTCGGTCACGATGGATATGTTCACAAGCTTGAAGCTGATCTGCATGTCTACGGAGGGCGGGCGCTCCCTGTCGAAGTCCATCTGCTCCCATGGGGACTTGCCGCTGAAGGCATTGTTAGCCCACCGGTTCTGCTCCCTCACGTGTTCCTCGGTGATGCTATTGTCCTCGTCGGACTGCCTGCACACGACGTACCTCGTCGGGATCTCCAACCTGGCAGCCTCGGGCACCATAGGCAGCTCGCGACCGCACTTGCTCTCCGAGGCGGCAGAGCTCCTCTTCACATGATGCCGCTTCGCGTTGTTGATATGGTAAGACCACTTGTCTGGCAGCCCGACGTGGCCGTGGGTCTCGAAGACCTCGACGCCAGTCAGCTTGCCGAGGCTTCTTACGTCGAAGCAGCCCCTGGAGCCTCGCAGGGAATCGAGGCCACAAGAGGACGGGAGCCTCAAGCCAGACAGTGATGTCTCGTTGCAGCTGGGGTAGTACGAATTGGCAATCATGTCGACGAAAAGCGGCGGGAAAGGGTGCTCCACGTGCTGATAAAACGACGCCCAGACCTTGTCGCTGGGGAGGTACAGGCACCCGCCATGGGGCAGCACTGGAGCCCTGGGATGCGCCATGACAAACTGCAGGATGTGCCTCGAGTGGTGCATGCCCCGGGATTCGCCCAGCAGCTGCCCGGCCCTGTGGTAAACCTGCCTGTCGAGCTCGAGCTCGTCTACGTCGAGATCGCTATGCCGCTGATACCTGAAGACCACAAAACCAAATAGACATAAACTTTTGGCGCTCCAAGCGGATTCCTTGCATTCGCGCTGGACTCCCCTCCCTGTCGCGCGGAGCGCGCCAGGGGCGGCGCCTGAGGCGCCGCCGGCGGGTGGCCCAAACGCGGATCCAAGGAATCCGCGCGGAACGCCAACATCTTATGTTTTTGTATGGCTTTTTCTTCGTCGAGATACACAATGCGCTGCTCGGAGCGATCGTGCTCGGCCTGGTTCGTGGGCCCGACAGCGGCGTCGGCGTCGCCCTGCTGCAGCTCTGGGCCCGCCTCCCGCAGGGACAGCCCGGCGGCCAAGCCAGCCAGCAGTGCCAACCCCACGAGAGCCCGGCACGCCATAGCTGCAGTATCCCACCAGCCCTTCGGGCCCAAGGTGGTCTGGCGATGTCGTTTCCTCCTCTTCCCAAGCCCTCTTCCCTTCGGGGAGGGGTACTCCAGATTTCGTAATAAAAGAGAGGGGGTCTGGACCCTCCAAGACAAGCCATTTCAGACCTCCCCCGTGGGAGAACCCTCCAAAACATCGTCCCCAGACCCCCCAGGCCCTCCAAGATAGCCTGGAAGAACCCCCCCCGAAATGAGACCCCCCTTCCCTTTATTACGAAATCTGGAGTAGCGATGTCGTTCTCTCCTCTTCCCAAGCCCTCTTCCCTTCGGGGAGGGGTGCAATCCGCATCCCCCCCCCCCGGCGTTTTTTTTTTTGTGTGGGGGGGGGGGCGGGAGGCGTCAGGGCGCCCAAGATGGCTCCAAGAGGGCGCCCCATGCTCCAAGAAGGCCTTCCAGATAACAGAAGATGGCTCAAGATAGCTTCCGACATGCCTCCAACAGGGCCCAAGAGGACCGCCATATGGCTAGAAGTGCTCTCGGAGCCTCCCAAAGGGACCCCCCCAAGAAGTCAACATCCTTCAAAACCGACGGGGAATCAAGGATTGCTGTCTGCTCGCCTTTTCGCTTCCGATGCGGTTCGGGGGCTTCAAGATGGCCCCAAGATGGCCCGAGAGAGCCCCAATACGGGCTCAAGAGGTCCCCAAGACGGCCCCAAGAGCACCCAGGGGCGCCCCTAGAGGGTCCGAAGCGGCGATTTCGAGGGCCCTGGGGGGGGCAAGTAAGAGACCCCCCCCATCGCTTGATATACGGTCTCCAAAATGGCCCTAAGAGGCTCTCCCGGGCTCCCAAGGGATCCCCAAGAGGGCCCCAAAAAGGCCCTAAGAGGGCCCCGAGAGGGCCCCAAGACGGCCCCAAAAGCGCACAAGAGCGCCAAAAGAGCGCCCCACGATTGCCCCCGGAGGCGGCGCGCCTCCTCCTATTCTTTTTTGGCAGCATCGCCCAGACCCCTCGAACGGTGCATCTGCGTCAGCAAGAGGCGAACTGCAGCAGAAGATTAGGAGGTGCGAGGCCGCAGGACCACCACCTCGATCGAGGAGGCCGCCTTCAGGCCAAGCCGCTCGCCCCTCAACACTAGTCCGATCCCGAGCTCTCGCCTCCGCGAGGAATCGGGAGGAAGCCCGCGTCTTTCATATCTTCTCGAAGGATTGGAGATGCGCTCGGTGAAGCAGCGGAGGGGTCTCCAGAGACCGCAACGGCAGTCTCCTCTGCTTCCACCAAGGAGCGGGGCAAGGAAACGCCTTCCCCCGCCCGAGACAGGAACGGAGGACCTGGGGGGGCGGCTTCAAGGCGCTCGCCGAGCTCCCCCCCCCCCCGCGCCAGCGGATCCCGCCCGCGCTGCGCGATGCAGCGGCGCGATTCCCGCTCCTCGTGCCGACGGCGTCCTCCAACCCGGGATCCGCGGCCCTGCCGGCGGCAGAGCCGACGGCGACCCTCGATCGGGGGGCCGCGGCACTCGGAGGGCCCGCGGGCATCGCGACTGCCACTTCCTCTCAGGAAAGAAGAAGGATGAATGCGTCGATGTCGACAGACTCCCTTCTTGCCAGGGCGTCGGCCTCTGCGAAGACTGCGCGCGTTCTTTATGTCAGTCGCCGTAGGAGGTCCGCATCTGCGGCCGAGGCCCAAGACCTCAGCTCCAGAGCCGTAAGGCTTGCAGGACAAACACAAGAACAGGTGAGAGTTGTCTGAACATTGAACGCCGAAAACTTGTGCCCGAGACGCATCAGCGGTCCCTGGTCCGGCCTGCAACGGCCCGAGCACAGCGGCTTGGGCGCACTCCTGGAACCTTTCAAACACACTGTGCGCCCCCAGACTGAGCTCATGCGCTCCCATTCGTGCTCAATGAGAAGAACACCGGCGGCGCGATGTAGGCCGCGAACCTCAACCTTGGGCCGCAGTGGCAAAAATTGAGCCCCCCGCCAGCAGGAGATGGCGGGCAATGTTCAGAGTGCGCTTCAAATCTTCCTGTTCGGAGGGGTCCAGCGTCGGTGGAGGCCCACGGCATCCTTGGCGGCGACGAAGTTCCCGAACCGAAGGAACCTCTCCTCAGCGCTGATTCCTTCTTCATCGACATCATTGTGAGCAGCAACTGTGCTCAAGCACGCGCAAACACGTCCGAAATGGCCCCGGGCCTGCGTCGCGCGCCCCGCACGCAGACGCTCGGGGCCAACGGCTTCAGCAGAGCACAAGCTCTGCAGCGGCACGACATTGACACAATCTGAATAGCAATGCGAGGGCCCCTCGGAGCACGCCCCTGCCCGGGCAAACGCTCCGAACTCAGCGCCCCGGGGAGTCTGGGGCCACGGAGCCCAGAGAGCCCCCCAAGGTCCCGAGGCGTTCTCCCCGGGAAGAAACCATGGCAACAGCCCAACCCGCCCTGGAAAGCTCCCGCGCTGCGCGTCTAAGGCAGGATCCGCCCATAAAAAGATGCCTCAGGAGCCCGTCGCCAGGAGCGATACAATGGGGAAGGGGGGGGGTCAGCTGGGTCAGACAGGCTATCCGCGTGCCAGACAAGCGAAACTCCGCCGTCCGTGAGAGGCCGGGGTGCGCAATCTCCTGGACGTCGAAACGGGCCGAACAAAAAAAGAGCACGGTGTTCTGGATCTGTCCAGTCGCCTTCTCGGGTTGCTTCCTGCACCCAGGAGGGGGGCGCGTCGTTGCGCTCGTCCTGGACGCACGGGCAGACGTAGATCCTGTGATAGAAGCAGTCCTTCGCCTCGCCACACTGGCTGCATAAACTAGACATGGGGCAGCCGAGGTCGGCCGCGTCGCCCGCTGTCCAGCATGCGCTGGTGGGGAACGCGCGGGCCATCCCCAGCTGAGTTCCCGATCTCCTTCGCGGCCAGGAGCGCCTCCTGAACATCCCAACAGAGCCTCCTCTGAACCTCGCGCGCATCCCCGCTGCCCCTTCTCGAGGGACCTGAACACAGCCCCATTGCAATAGTATCTGACGATTCTAGGGGGGGAAAGGGCCAAGGGGATCTCGCGCCCGAAGTCGCTTATAATAATGTTAGAATTTGGGCATGGACCAGCCGAGCCGATAGAGCGACATCCTGAAGGCCGAAATCGGGCCAGACACTTCGGGCCAGGAATGGTCTTCAAATGGAAGACCGACCCCCGACCATCGCGCGCATCGCTCCAGCTCTGGGGCCAGGGAAACGCGCGGGGGCGTGCCATCTAAATTTCCTTGGCCCATCTGATGATGGGAGCGCAACTGGCCCTCCAAGTAGGGCCCGCCTCAAGGAGGCACAGGACCGATAGCGAACGGCCCTGGGACCTCGGTTTGATAGAGGACATGGCCATCCGACGAAGCTCCAGGAGTTCTCCATCAGAAACGCCGAAAATGTCGGAGCCGTAGACGGCCTCAGCCAGGGGGCCGGCGGCAGAAACTTCGAGAACTCGTCTCCCAGGAACACCGCTGAGCTTCTGCAAGCGCTTCGTCTTCCTGAAGTCGGCGGCCGGCCTCTGCTCGAGCTGAGCAGAGCGCTTGGCTCCTGGAGCACGGAGGGTTCGACTCATAGCGCTGTCGGCGCCTATGTTGGTGACTATGGTGCAAGCTCTGCCTCCAACTAAAGGTCCTAACTGAGAAACCAATTCGTCGGCCACGAACTTGGAGCTGGAGACCAGCCCAATCCTATCCATGGCGAGCTTGCACCTGATAGCCCTGCAGACAGCATCCTCGAGAGCGCGCGCGCCAACAATGAGGGGGGCGGAGGCAGCGCGGGGCCTTCCAGTGCAGCTCAGACTCAGATCGTCGATACACACAACAAAATCGCAAGAAACTGAGCTCGGGATGGCGTCGGAAGCCTCCATGGCGAACACCCTGATGAGGCTGGTCGCGAACGAACAACCCGCGACGATCCAATTGGACGAAGAATACGGCCCTTCGACAATCACCCCTGGGGTTGAGTATCTAGCACCAGAATATCCCTTAATCGCCAGACGCACAAGAGCCAAATGAAGACCATGCTGCTGGCACTTGCACCTCAGAAGCTTGAGATCGATGTGCTCGTAATACTTCCTGGGGTCCCGAACATGGAGGCATTGACTTCGCCTCGTCGGTTGATTGATTCAGCCCTCAACGCCCGGCGCCAAAGCGCATCCCCAGCCCCACGGTGGGCCCCGGAGGCCCAGTTGGGCCGAGCATGCTGGGGCTCCCAACGCAAAGCTTCAGGACGACGGCCCCTGCCCCACGCGCGGAACCAACTCGGGGAAATCCCGATCGGACGGAAGCCGCCCGCGGGCTTGCCCAAGAGAGCCATCAAAATCCAGGAAAGCTGCAGCGGGAGAGCGCCTGTCGCCTCCACCACCGCGAACCACAGGGCCGTGGCGGACAGAGCTCATTCGGGCAGGAGGCAGCAAACGTGACGGCAATGAAATCCGCCCAAGCTAACCGCACTGATGGTGCGATGGCGTCTTGAAGCTTCTCGAAGAACAGATGGCTCAAGCGGGGGGGGAATGTGGCAGGATATCGGGACAGACATCCTGGCCGCCACCTTGATCCCAAATCTCCGAAAACTTTTCCCATCCGATTTCAGGGGGCTAGCTGGGTCGCAGATAAAGACGCCAGCACGGGACAGCGTTGTAGAGGGGGTCCACGGTTCGGGATCTCTGATCGCCTTCTGGGCACGCTTGCCTCCCTTCTCGAGCCCCGCGCGCACCCGCTCTTGCCGCTCTCGCCGCGACGAAGCCGCGGCGGTGGCCTTATTAGACGCGCAGGCAATCGCCACGTCACCGATGAAGCGGTCAAAATCGGAAGCCAGCGTCGGATCCAGCACAGGGCTACGGGCCTGGCGCGCTAAGCCCGCGGCCTCGCTGAACAAGCGCGACCAGCTCGGAACGGCAGCCAGCTCGGCTGAGGCCGCAGGACTCGCCGGCGCCGCCAGCACCTGTCGGCCTCCGCCCAGAAGCCCTCGGTCCAAAAGCTAGCACCTCGCTGCTCTCATCTGGCTAGAGAGCCACAGGATGGACATGGGGTGGGGGTCTCCAGCTCGGCCTGAAGCTTTCCGAATAGACTTCCAATTCATATGGGGCCCCTCGCCCCTCATGCCCAGAGGAATCTACCCCCCTAATAAATTGGCAAGGTCGCGCTCGGCAGACTTCGCCAACTCTTTATAGCCTGGCGTGATCAAGCTACGGGCGCGTCTGCCTTCGCCACTCCCCACCGCCTCGTAAGCCTCCTGGGCCACGTCAAGGGCCCTGTCCCAAACGCCAGCCTGGGGCCAGGGGCCTACTGGAGGGGAGACAGGGAGGTCAGGGGGGCGACGGATTGCGAGAGCCTTGAGATCGCCCAAGGAGGCGTGGAACCTCAAAGAAACAGGGCGGTGGGGCGCAAGCGAGGCGTCGCCAACAACATCGACCGATTTTCAACACAGACTGAGGCTGTGCGAAACCGCGAAGTAGTCAAGACGGTCTGGCCCCCCGAGCTCGGGAAGTGGGCGCGCCCCGTTGCGGCCACCAGGGTGCCATGCAGGAGCCTCGTGAACTCGCTGGAATCCAGGGTCTCAGGGCCAAGATTCCAATCTCCTCCAATGATGAACTCACATTCAAGATGCCCCAACAACTCCCCAATGGTGTTCAGGATGTCCCCATGCTGGTTTCCGAGAGACCTTCGCTGTGAACAAAGTAAAACGAGATGACGCAGAACGCCGCGCATCCAGGCACGCGCGCAATGACTGCGATGGCCCTGCCCTCGACCTGCACGCGCCGACCCGTCGTAAAAAGAAAAAACGAAGACGTCCTTCGCGAGGACGCAGACTCCAGGAGATGCGCCTCCACCGTCGCCAACGAGTCCAGGGGCCCACAACGACTTCCATCCCAAGAATTCGGTGCTCGTGTCGGCCTGATCGAGCTCAGACTTCCACCTCAGCTGGCACCCCTGGGCCGAGGCGATACGGGCTTCCGTGGATCCCAGGAAGGATTTCAACGTGCCCCAACTGCTGGCGTTGATGGTCATGACGCATAGCCTTCTTCAAGGGCTGCTCGTTCAGGATAACTGTTAGATGCCGCTGGGCGCGCATGTGCGGGGGCGGATTTGTTTTTGGCCCCATCCCCCGGACGAAAGACTCTGACCGTGCTTGGCCCAGCAAAAATTACAGATTGCAGCGCTCTCCCGCTGCCTTGGCGGCGCGGCCCAAGCTCTGCATCTGACCGGCTGCCCTAGGGCCTAGGGGGCGGGGAGGGGCGAAGCTCGCAATCTCGGGGGCCTGGGGGGCGCGCAAATGTCACCGGGCGACGATGGCGCGCGGAAAAAAAAACGACGGTATCGGGGCCCAAAGCATCTCGAACCTGCTATAGCGTCGGACCCCCAAAGTGCGAGCGGAGGAGCCGATTGGGGACATCCTGCCGGGGAACAATTCGAAGAGGGCACGAACCTGGCTCGCGCGGGCGCCGACGCCGCCACTTGGACCCCGCCCCCCCCCTGCCGGGGGGCGGGGGGGGGGCGCGGGACAGAGCGGCGCCAGCACGAGCGCGCGCATCCGAGCCTGTCTCTGCTGACGGCTGGGCGCCTCCAGCGCCTGCCGCGGAACTGGGCTCAGAGGCTGCAGGAGCGACGCCGCCTGGCTCGGCGGCGGACGCAGCTTGAGCAGCTTGACCTCCTGCTGCAGCTCCTTCTCCATCTGCTCCAGTGCGACGACGGTTGGCAGCCATGCGCAGCTTGTGGCTGTCGCGCGCAATTTTGGCCTGCTCGGCGTGCTCCGAGATCTGGCCGAACAGCTGCTTGGCGAGATCGCGCACTCCTCTGACGAGGATGCCCGTGCGCTTCGCAACCTCGGCTTGGCCCTCAGCGGTGACCACGCCTTCATCAAGCCTTCCAATTTCGTCCAAGCAGTCAACCGGGAACAAATTCTCGACACGTCGAAGGAGCCATCAAGCAACTCCCCAAGCTTGATAGGCTGCGTGGCCACAGCAGCAGGGCCAGGTGGGGCCGACTCCGCTTTGAGCAGGTTGACCGCCTCCTTGTACTCCTTGTCGGCCTTCTCCAGCTCCTCTCTGGTAGTCTTGATCTGCTGCTCGAACGCAAAAACCTCCTCTCGCCATCTTCACAGCTTCGCGAACTCTGTGTCAAGCTTCTTCTCCCATCGACGAACAGCCGGATGCTGTTGCTGAGCTTCCTGGTGAATGTTGGCATCAGGCGCCCTCGCAGCATGCTCCAGGCGCTTTGCGATTTCAGCGTAATAGTATCCTCCTCTTTTGTCCCCCGCCTTGCAGGAGAGTGCAGACATCTGGTGCGGTTCTGAGAGGGACAAAGATGTGACTGGTACTGCGGAAAGCGGTGGGGCACTCTGCTCTTGCCCTTCCGACCCTGGAGCAAGCGAGA